TCAAAAAAAAAAAAAGAAAAGAAACTACTTCCACAGTAACAAACAACAAACAACCGAACTCCAAGTTTATAACACATACCACCCTCAAACAGAACAGAAAATAGAAAGTAAAGGAATGAACAGAAACAACATGAATGTGGGCACAGCCACGGGCTATTTGCAGGTAAGGATTAGGCCATAGCAGCTCAGGGCGGCTGGAGACACCAAGCTGCAGAGGTGAAGGCCCTTGATAAGCCATGGTAGACTGTTCCAGAACACCCCTGAAGAGTTGCCTCCTCCCACCAATGAGTCTGACTCAGGGATTGGCATATGTTTTACCCTCTACTTGTCATATTTCTGTAGGTGACAGATGAGTGAAGAGTTTTGGAAAAACTCTGGAATAAACCAGGCCTATCCATGGGTACTGAGACTGATTTCATACTTTTTTCTTTTTTTTAGACAGAGCCTCAAGCTGTCCCCCTGGGTAGAGTGCCGTGGCATCACAGCTCACAGCAACCTCCAGCTCCTGGGCTCAAGCGAGTCTCCTGCCTCAGCCTCCCAAGTAGCTGGGACAATAGGTGCCCACCACAATGCCTGGCCATTTTTTTGGTTGCAGCCATCATTGTTGTTTGACAGGCCTGGGCTAGATTTAAACCTGCCACCTTAGATGTATGTGGCTGGCGCCTTAGCCACTTGAGCCACAGACGCTGAGCCCTGAGACTGATTTCAAAGACAGAAAAATGTCCCAGGTCCTTCTGGTCGCCTTAGTGGCTGCCTGTGGCTAAAGGGAGGTGGCCATGAATAGGTCCTGGTCACCTAGGCGGCCACACAGTTTCCTCTCTGGTGCTTAACCACTGTGACTTCCCCAGACCAGAAGGAGCCCCAAGAACCTCCATTTCTTGACACTTCCATGATAGGGCCACATACCTGCAGATTCACAGAGGGCTCTGCAGCCCACTGGCCCTCCCCTGGGTGGGAAGCCTGCTCTGGCTCTTTGCCAGAGCCCAGGGCAAAGCCACTGCTCCTGCTCCTAAGAAAAGGGCCCAGCCCTCTAGCCTGGAGACCCTGCCAAGAGGAAGTCCCTGAGACCCGGGCATGGTAGGGGACATGGGCTTCCCAGGGCCCACCACCCAGAGCAGGAAATTGGCTTGGGCTCTGTCCATTAGCTGAGCAAACATTGAGGTTCTCAGGCAGATGGGGTAAGGATCCAGCCAAGGCGGGGGCAAGGACAGGATATATGAAACCCTCAGGGACAAGCTCTGGGAGGCCCATCTTAGGACACAGGAGTGTTCACAGAGCCCCACTGCACCATGAAACTCACCGCGGCCTTCATGGTGCTCTGCATGGCCCTGCTTAGTGACTCTGGTGAGTGCCCCTGGGGCTCAGATCCCTGCCCTGCATGGTGGGGACCTGCTTTCCCCCAGCTCCCACTGCAGCCAATTCATACCTGGGGTGTCAGGCTGCTCATGCTGGTCCTGCCAGACTCACCTTTAGACCCTGCTGACTGCCCCCAGGGCTCCCATCCCCTCCTTCCTGTGGCCCTGGAGCCCTCTTGTCTCCTCTCACTCCTGCACCCCTCAGGTTTCTCTCTGACCCACTGACAGCTGATCTGGTCTAGGAATACCCATCTCTTCCCTGCCTAGTGACCATCCAGGCACTGCCCAAGGGTCCTCTCCTCTATGGAGCCGGCGCAGAGTTCCCCTGACTTTCCCCCACCCTCAGGCTGCCTCTTGTCCCTCTCCGCAGCAGTGTCCTCACTGGGCCACAGCTGTCTGTATTCATAGCTGCTTCTTCCAACCCTGGGAGCCCTCCAAAGCCCAGCTGGGTCAGACCCATCTTTGTGATCCCAGACTGGTCACAGGGCAGTTATCAGCGCAGGAGGGAGTGTGTACTCAGGGGTGCTGGGTAGGTTTAAGGCTCCCCTGAGCACCTCATAGAGGGGACAGGTTGTCAGCAAGCTTCTTTCCGTCCCCCTTTCCCCCCTACAGTGGCTGCTGATTCTTCCCCCTTGTGTTTGTAGCTGCCGCTTTCTTCTTGGACTCTGTGGTTAAGCCTGTGGCCCAACCTGTGGCTGCCCTCGACTCTGCTGCAGAAGCCGTGGTCAGCGCCCCTTTCAACCACTTCAACCCCGTGAAGCTCATGCTGACCAGCCTGGGGATCCCAGTGGAGCATCTCATAACGGGCTCCCAGAAGTGTATAGCAGAGCTGGGCCCCGAGGCCATGGGAGCCCTGAAAATGCTACTGGTAACACAGCACTGTGGGCACCTCCCCACATGGGCCTCCCTCCCCAGTCATCTTCTACATCATACCAGAGGCATCATTTTCCATCCTGCTCCCTCAAGCCCTGTCCCTAGGAGAAACCTGGGGTCCTTGAGTGTGACCTAGGTTGACCATAGCTGAGCTGCAGGAGGGCTGGTAGAGCACCAATGCGGCTCCCACTGGGAGGCTGCCGGAGGGTTAAGGCGCCCTGCCCCAAAGCCAGTCCACCACCTGGGAGCCCTCCCAGAGCTGGCAGCTGCTGTGCCTCTCTTCCCACCTGAGTTCTCCTTGGTGGCAGTGAGAGGGGCACACTCAAGCTTGGCTCTGCCTTCCAGGGGGCCCTGACATTCTTTGGCTGAGCAGAGGCTGGAGAAGTCTTGCCTGAAGACCGGATGCTGTCCACCATGAGGGCTGGGAAACTTTCCACCCACCGGAATGTCCTGCCCTACCCTCCCTCTCTTAATAAACATGGTTAAGAGCAACTTGGGTTGATGTACTCTTGCCTGAATGCCAATCCTAGTGGGGGGCCAAGAGCATCAAGTGCCGAATGATATGAGGGTGTGTGTATATGTGTGCGTGCGTGCATGCGCAAAAGAGAGAGAAAGAGATTGCTGACATTTGACAAGTGGCAAAAAGGCAGCAATGAAAGTGAAGCCAGAAAAGCAGCCTGCAAGATGGAGTCTGAGAAGCTGAGCTGAAGCAGTGCAGCTGACTGAGTCTGCACAGCCTTCCCCACACACCTGCTCTTATTATCTAGTTAAGGTTTCTCCCTGGTCAGGAGGATATTTACCTCAGGAGACTTGAAGTAGTCACATAGAGACAATAGGGGCTGTGATATTGGTAGAATAAAGGTTACTTTGATGATATGTTTTCTTTGATGATTATCTTAGATGTTTTGTTAAAATGAAAATTTTCTGTTTAAACATTTTGCATTGTCTGAATGAAGACTACTTTGATGTTACTTCCTATCAGATACACTTAAAATTTTCTATTTCCTGGTATTCCCATTATAAAAACCATAAAATTGTTAACTTAGGCAGAACAGAATTCAGAGACTACTCTTGCTTTTCTCCAGAATCGCCAGCTTTCTAAAAATAGAACGTTTTAGGACCTAAACCCAGCCTCTGTGTATTGGCTGGACAGTGACAGGCAGCCTGGCCCTCTTTGTCCAGTAACAAAAGGTGACCAAGATTGGGCAAATAAGTACCAGAGTTAAGCTGGTTTGGGAACTAAATTGGGAATCGTTTTTCATTTTATGCTCTGTACTTGTTTAGGAAACATAGAAATTACCTACTTCTTGGAGACTGCTGAGAGCATACCTAACAACCAAAGGCATTTGTTACTAACATTTGAAGAGTTTTATTTTTTCCCTTGACTTACACATTTCTCCCTTAGAATGGCCAGGATTGGGGACTACAGGAAATCTGTTGATGTTGTTCCCCTGTGGTTTCTGGTGGTTTCATTCAAGTAACTTAGCAGCTTTGATGGCTTCCACTCTACCAGAGGGGACCACCATTTGTGGACTGATCCCCAATGTTGGTGGGAAGGTGCCCAGGGAACCCCCAAACTGATGCCATTTCAGGAAAAGCTGTCTAGTAATTTCCTTTGTTAAAGCATAAATAACTGTTCCACTCTCCTGAGAAGGACCATCTACGCACTGCGGACAGACAGAACTCATTTTCACCTATTTCACATTAAATGTGGCTCTGGCTTTCCTCTGTTCCTATTTTGAAAAGTGTATTTAGGGATTTAAATTTTGTTATTCTGGTAAGTCCAGGGAGGAAGCCATCTGAATCCAGATTACATGTAAATGTCATTATCAACACATTGTCCCTAAGATTGTTGAGGGTTATGAATCTTCCTGGAAGGCTTTAGTCTGGACAATAATGAGCCAAGCCTGAGATGAATCACTTTGCATCTCTGGTGAGGAAGGTAGTGGGGCCCCAGACCCTGACATGACCCTAGGCCAGCCTCTCTCAACATTACATATCCAGGCTCTTTGCAGGTTGTCTGGTAACAATTCCTTAATTAACTGGATTAAAATGTCCAAGTAAATCTTTTGGGGAAGCTTGTTGGAACTGATGGATGGGCCAAGGACCCCATCCTGAGACAGCTCTGCTCCCTGCAACATGGGATCTCCCCAGGAAAACAATGAAAGGAAAGCAGAATGCTCCGAGAGCCATGGGCATCAGCAGAAGTCCCGAGACCAGCTGCAACAGTTAGTTTTCCCCCTCCTGAAGGTTCCTGGAAAAGAGACCAACATAGTCCTGGAGTAATTGGACTGTCCCAAACTTATTATTTAAACAAAGTGAGAATAAACAGTGGTGAGGGGTGGGTGGCAGTGGGTCCTACAGCCACCCAGATTCTCTCCAGGAGGAGCTGCACATTCCCATGGCCCTCAGGAAGGTTGGCAGCTGGTAGTAACCAGCTAAATTGCTTTTTGAGGATAGCCAGTCAAAGAACTCCAACTTTCTGGTCACATCTTTCCCCAGGGGCAGTCTGCATCAGTGGTAAGTTGATGCAGGCTAAGAAGGCTGGGCCTCCTTGCCTCAAGGCAGAGGAATCTGCAAGGTGCTCACTGCCCCGGAGCTCCCCTTGGGCCCCTGAGGCCTTTGTGACTGCATTGCTGTTCAACCTCCCCCCACCCCCCACTCTTGGCCAAAATTACCTCCTTAGAATCCCCACATCAGCACATCCTGGTTGTTAGTTAAGGTGTTGAGAGCCCATGTAATGAGAATGAGACAGAGTCAGTCAGCCTAGGGCTGACAGACACAGCCCATAAGTTTAGGTCCCTTGTGACCTTCACATCAGGCCTTCCATCCTTGTTTTGTAAATTTAGCTTTCACCTAAAAGTGTATATCTTGAGTAGCTTAGGGTGATTTAGGAGATTAACTTTTGAATTAGAAATGTTGATTTGGGTCATGGGTTTGTTAACCCTCAGACTCAATTCAAGCACCACCCTGAGAGTCTGAACATCGCTGCAAAGGCACAAGGAATTTTATTCATTCAAGCTCAGAGCCTGGGCTGCCCTTTAAGAAAAAGCGGGAACAGCCCTTACAGACTATGCAGAAAGTCACTTTATATCTGTCCCCCTTCCCTCCCATTAGACCATTTCACCCCATCCCCTTTTTGGTAGGTAAACCATGTCTGTCCTAAACTGACAGGTACAGGGTGGTCGTGTTCAGGGTTGATTGGCTCAGGGATGAGTCTTCTTTGTCTCAGGTGAGCGAATGAGAAGGAAGGGATAAAGGTCGCAAGTGGGGCGAGTGCAGAGTAGAGTGGTGAGTGCAAAAAGGGGAGGGGATCAGGATGTGGGCTGAGTGCACAAGGGGGCTAGTGGGACAAAGGGGAGGGGGTCAGGATGTGGGCTATAACACCTAGGTATGATAAGGTCCTTGGTATGCTGTGGCCTGTTGTTCTGAATAAACAACAAAAGGAGGTAGTTTGATTTGTGACTTGAGTTAATTAGTTTGGCTCTCACAGGTTATGCCAAATATTGTTTATTATGGGTCATGATTTATGCTGATCATTGTTTAAGGGTTAACATGGCTTTTGCTTTGTTGAACTTTTATACGGAAAACTGTGGTTTTGGAAATGGAAGGGCAGAATAGTCTTGGAAAGGCTACTTCTATCCAGAATTACTAGCCTCCTGATCTTAAAGCTTATTGGACCTAATCCTCGTTGTCTGCATATGGCTGACAGTGACAGGCAACAGGACTCTCTTAATCTGTTAATAGTATGTCCTATATCCTGGAGCTCGTGGCTCAGTTACACCTTTAAAAGGGTATTCCATTGCTCTATCTTCTCCAATAAAATCCCTGTACACAAATCTGTCTCAAAGAATGTTTCCAAAAAGCCCAATGCAAGATAATACATTGCTGTTTGTCTAAAATGGGTATCTATGTGTGTCAGAAACAATGGTAAGATAAAATGTTTAAAAATGGTTACTATTTTAAAAATATTTTATATTACCATAAGATCAAATAAAAGATTTTAAAAGCAACCTCTAAATTTTGAAATTAAAAAAATAACTTTAATGGTGGCATAACCACCAAGAGGAACTATTATTCCAAGTAACGTGAAAATATGGTAATTTAACTCCACAACCTAGGGATAGGAGGGTACAGCTTAAGGAAAAGAGGAACTGCTAAAAGAATTTTAAACTTTTTTTTCCATAAACTCAACCCAGTAGTATTAAACTTTTCTTACTGGTGGTATAGTTCTATGAAGGCTGTTCCCTGCAGATTCTGTGACAAATCAAATGAGTAATTATGTCAGTGCCATTGAAACCTGAGGTTCCTGGCAAAGTTAAAAGGAGACATGGATAATGTGAACTAAAAAAAAATTTTTTTTAATTTGAGACAGAATCTTACAATGTGTCTTTGGTAGAGAACCCTGGCATCACAGCTCACAGCAACCTCCAACTCTTGGTCTTAAGCTATTTTACCCTACCACATGCTAGGGTGCATGTGGCTAGCACCCTATCAACTGAGCTACAGATGCCGAGCCCTAAAATAAAATCTTAAAATTCCTTCCCAGCAGCTGACTAATTGGAACCCCTCTTGGCCAAAGGGATCCCCTAAACTGAGTTGCTAGCCATGAGAAAGGAGATCTGACATGTCTTAGCCCCCTGCCTTCCTAGAGATGTCCTCTGTGACTTATTACCAGCCTTAAGGCTATGCAAGACATACCTGCATGTCCTCAATACACATAGCAAACCACTTGAGTCTGGACATATGTCTGGTAGTTTGTTTCTGATTAACAGACCCTTATCTTAATTCAAGCATTTCTTTTAGAATCTTTAAACTCACCTATAACCCGTGACCTTGGAGATGTCCCACTTTTTCAGGCCAAACCAATGTATGTTTTACATGTGTTATTTATGACTATCTGTAATTCCTCTCTCCTTGAAATGTATAAAACCAAACTGTAACCCCACAACTGTGAGTCTACTTGCTCAAGATTTTTTTTTTTTTTTTTTTGAGACAGAGCCTCAAGCTGTCCCCCAGGGTAGAATGCCGTGGCATTACAGCTCACAGCAACCTCCAACTCCTGGGCTCAAGCCAGTCTCCTGCCTCCGCCTCCCAAGTAGCTAGGACCACAGGTGCCCACCACAACGCCCGGCTATTTTTTGGTTGTAGCCATCATTGTTGTTTGGTGGGTCTGGGCTGGGGATTCGAACCCGCCACCTAAGGTGTACATGGCTGGCACCTTAGCTGGTTGAGCTATAGGCGCCGAGCCGCTCAAGATTTCTTGAGTGTGGCACTGGACCATGGTCCTCAAATTTGACTCAAAATAAAAGCTCTTTAATTTTACAGAGTATGGCTTCTTTTCCATCAGCAATGATAAAAAGATCGTTAAAGTTAATTAAAAACTTTAGGGCTCAGTGGGTGGCCCACAGTGAGAAAGATTTCTCTAGACCAACATTAGGATATAAACAGTATCTTCTTAGGAGGAGAGAGGAAATGAGAGAATGAAAGAGTCAGCAAAGAGTGTAGGGAGATGGTGTGGCATCCCAAAGCCAGGAAGAAAGAATACCAACAGTGAGATTAGGCAGCTGCTGAGTTTAAGGGAGGTGAAGAGAAAAAGAGTAATTAGTGATGCAGGGTTCTCTTGCTCAGCACTGGACAGAAACCTCCATTTTTCAAGGCCCGAGTGAGCTCAGAGATCAGTCTCATCACAGACTCCATCTCTAGGCACAAAAAGGTTCTCTGCGGCCTTCATTCTCTGGACAAGCTCATAAAAAGCAGCCTGACAGAAATCTCATCAGGATTGTGTGCCTGTGTGTGTGTTGTGTGTGTGTCTCAGCAGGGAACATACTGACCACGGCCTTGCCTAGAGCCTGCATTCCTCTGCTCTGTGGCAGTTTTAAAGTTAATTTCTGCCCAAGTCCCTGGTGGCAAATGGTTGCAACATATTCCATCTCCTCAAATAGGATAGGAAAAGCAGATGGCCCAAATGGGCTACCCACTTGGGCCCCCCCTCTGGATGGCCAAAGGCTTTGACTTTCTTCTCCCATCCACCCTACCCATCTGTAAATTCTGTCCTGTTGCTTACTCAGTGGTTTGTGGATTCATTCTTTGACTCTCCGGGACCATGGACGTGGTAGAGAGAAATTTTGGCTTTCCCATGGTACTGTAAATGCCGATCTACTTTTCCTCTGGAAGGATAACAAGCAGCTACCTTTATACAGCAGACAGGTGTCACAGGCGTTTCTGATCCTGCGGGTAATTCTGCCCTGAGATAACATTTTGGGCAAAGTCTGAGGCCACTCACATCTTATTGTTCATTCAACAAAGACCTGGGAACCCCTGAGGCTATAGGAACAAATTCCAAAAGACCAGGAGCTTGTAAAGAACGTGAATGTAAAAAAAGAATTTACATTTCAGTTTTGTCTGTTCTTTTCAGGGGTTTGTGAAAACAAAACTTCAGAGTGCCTGCTAGCAAGAAAGGTCAGAGATCAGAGAAGAGCTTGATTTTTTTAGCCCTTACTGAAAAACTATGCTAGCAATTTTTCTGTTATTTCACTATCAAATATCAAAGACCAATCATCCTTTCAGGTTCAAGGTTAGAATTGGAAGTATTATAAATGCCTGATCTTTGGGAAAAATGTCTCTTATCTCTCTACTCCAGAAATGACCTAGCAACAGACCCACCTAGTAGCAATAAGAAAGAATCCTTGCATACAGAAAGAACTGAGAACCTTTGAAGAAACAGATGATTCCAGGCCTAGAGCAGAAAACATGAAAGATAAAACTGAAACATCTTTTCTTTTCTTTTTTTTTTTTTTGAGACAGAGCTTCAAGCTGTCCTCCTGGGTAGAGTGCCGTGGCTTCACAGCTCACAGCAACCTCCAACTCCTGGGCTCAAGCGAGTCTCCTGCCTCTGCCTCCCAAGTAGCTGGGACCACAGGCACCTGCCACAGTGCCAGGCTATTTTTTTGGTTGTAGCCATCATTGTTGTTTGGTGGGTCTGGGCTGGATTCGAACTTGCCACCTTAGGTGTTTGTGGCTGGCGCCTTAGCCACTTGAGCCACAGGTGCCAAGCCACTCAGAACACTTTTCAACTGCTCCCTCAAAACCCCATGCCTGTTATTCCATTATTAGTCACTCTTCTTTGGAGAAAAGTCAATTCAAATCCTTTCCCTGGTTTTCTTTTTTTTTAAAAGATAAGGTCTTGCTCTGTTGCCTGGGCTGGAGTGCAATGGTATCATCATAGCTCACTGCAAATGCAAACTCCTGGTCTCAAGGGATCCTCCTACCTCAGCCTCCCAAGT